TTTGAGGGCTTCCCTTGGAGCTGCTCTACCTTGCAGGGGCGGCCTGCAGCGGGTAGTCCCACCAGTTAACCCACCAACCCAAGGGGGACTCACTTAAGCCAAACCACACAGCACCCTTTGTTGTGGTCCTCACCCCAAGAGGGTGGGATCGTGCCCGTCGAAGAGGTCCCCACTGATCCTTTGAGCCCAGTATACACAGAGTCAGGTTCTCAGCTGAAGCACAGCTGGTTGAGCCACAAGAGGATGGAGAAAGCACTGGAGCAAGTGACCAACGCCTTCCCAAAGACTAAGCCCCTTCCACCGCCCTTTTTTTGGGGGGGGGGCGGTGTATTTTTCAAACGTGCTTGTCTGTGTGTGTGCACCTAGAAGTCATGGTGACCTCTGGTGACTGACTGTGTATGCACTTGGAAGTCACGGCGACCTCTGGGGACTGACCCCCTACTTGCCAGAGTCGACCCTGCTTAGCTTCCAAAATCTGACGAGATCGGGCTTGCCTGGGCTATCCAAGTCAGGGCACCCCTCTCACCCCCTTGAGGCAGGAAGGCATCTGGCACAGAAACACACACGCAGAGAGAGAAATGCCAAGTATACCTGTCCAGTCAGAGTGATGCCCGGGTTTTTCCCGGGTTGGCCAGCACCAGGGGTCATTCCGTAGAAAAAAGAGGTTCAGGAGCTCATTAGCACAACTTATTTGCATAGGCCACACCCCCTGACCTCACCGGAAGTGTGTCAGAAGGCAACACCCACCGCTCAGGCTCCACTGGACTGTTTTGGATTGCTAGCTATTGTGGGGGGATTTGCAGATCTGTCCTCGCAGAGGAGGGAGAGCTTGTACCTGAATAAAACTTGGTCTTAAAGGTGCCACTGGACTGTTTTGGATTGCTATCGGGGGGGGGGCGCTCTGCAACTTACCTGGCTGCTTCTTGCTTCTTGTGGCCCGGGGCTGCTGGGAGCAGGGGGCGGGGCTTGTTGCATGTGCCCGCCCCCTGGCCTCTTTACTGCCGGAGCTCCGCTCCTGTGCGCTCCTGCAGGAAATTACCCCAGGCCAGCACTATCTCCTCCTGTCCCCAGGGAAGAGGGTTGACAACGAGGACAGCCCTGTGCTGCTCTAAGGGCCTGCCAAACTAACCTCCCCACATGTACATATCTGCATGTTCATTGCATGTTCACTACGTGTTGCAGGTGTTTTGGGAGGATGGAATAAGACCAGTCTCTTCTGCATGTTCCTCTAGGATGGGCTTCTGGAGGGCCTCGCTCTAGTCTTCTGGCTATCTCTTGCTGGCAATAAGATAACACTATTTTTTAGAAAGGTAGGCTGACTCTGCTGACTCTGTGCTTCGAGGAAAGATAGGAACGCCTGGATGGTTCAGACATGGCTGCACATTAGACAATAGACAGGCCCTGCCCAGACCCAGAGAATGGCTCAGAAATAGCAAGGAAATGCCTCTGAGCTTGGGAAAGGTAGTGGCGCTACATTGCAGGGTCGTCTTTCTCATCCGTCGTTACCTGCCTCCCTAAAAAAATGGCACCTCTTCCGAAAACCGTGGAGTCCCCTTTGAACTGTGGGGTTCACCTTGTGAGGTCCCGGCTTCCTACTGCTCGGTAGAAAAACGTATTATTTGTGGGAGGCTGAAAACTAGCTCCTCCCGGCTCCTCTTCACAGCTGGAAGGAAACTCGGAGCAGTTGAAGGACTGGAGATCTTGACAACGTCTTGTGTTGAATAGTCAAGTGCAGAGAATCAAAAGAGCTGCACGGCAAGTCAAATGGAAACAGTGGGGGACTCATTCCTTGCCACTTAATTAAAAAGTACATACAGGCAGGGCTATTTTTGGGCAGGAACGCACAGGAACGGAGTTCCGGCTGGCTCCCGAGTTGGCCACGCCCAGCAGGAACTCATTAGCATAATAGGCCACACCCAACATCAGAAACTCATTAGGATTGGCTACATTAGGGGTGTGGGGCCTAACATGCAAAGGAGTCCCTGCTACAAAAAGAAGCCCTGGGTTTTGACAACAAACAAGGTCAAGAGAATAACAAGCAAAAGGTGGGTGTTGCTGGATAACCACACTTCTGGTAACATGGGGGTGCGTCCTAATGTGGTAATGAGCTGTGCTGGCAGGGGTGTGGCCTAATATGCTAATGAGTTCTTGCTGGGCTTTTTCTACAAAAAGAGCCCTGCATACAGGCAATGCTCCCACTAAGCTGTGGAGTCTTGTGAGCAAAAATTCTACTTTGTGAGCTGCTGGCATTAAAGTTGTGAGCAGGTGATTTGGCTACTGCATAATTTAGTTTGCTCTGGGGCCATCCCTTCCTGAGCTAAGACCAAAACTGTGTGAGCCGGAAGCTAAAAAATTGTGAGCTAGCTCACACTAACTTGGCTTAGAGGGAGCACTGGTTGCGATCCTGGAGTATCCCATGCTGCCCAGCTGTCTCAGAAAAAGGGACGGTTGGGTAGAAAAAAGAAAATTGAGGCAAACTGAAGCGAGCTCACACCAAGTCATCCAAAGCAGGTCTAATCCAAAACCTCCTCAGGCCTTGTCAACATTTCAGTCATTATAGAGTTAAACTGATGCTGTGTGTAAACAGGATGTTACTTGTTTAGAAGTAGAGTCATCCTTTCTGAGCTAAGACAAATATGTGTGAGCTGGAGGCTAAAAAACTGTGAGCTAGCTCACAGTAACTTAGCTTAGAGGGAACAATGCATACAGGTATTGGTGATTTTACTAGCAGCTGCAAAACTTGCAATTGCTTCTCAATGGAAATCCCCTTCAACCCCATCTGTTTCGGCTTGGGATTCCAGACTTTGAGAACAATATGTTTTAGCTAAATTAACTTTTAATTTTAATTCTTTGTTTTCACCAGAAAGTTTCTAAGTTAAAAAACAACAACACCTGGTCCCCTGTTTTAAACTATTTGGCAAAGAACAGAGAAATTCCAAAAGAACTTTATACTTGTTATATATAATTTAAGGCCCTTTGTTTTGTTTTGTTTGTTTTACTGGTGTTGCTGTACCATTTTTTTAATTTTAAATTTTTGAATGTGATAAAAAAATTTTTAAAGCCCATACAGGGAATTTGGTGAGAGGAGTGATAGGAAGAATATAAAAACAGTTCTACTGGAAGGCCTGGCAGGGATAAGGTCTGACTAGCATCGCAGTTTGGGAGCGTGAAGAAATGCGTTTTTTTCTTTGGAGGTTTGAAATGAGCAAAACCTTCACTCTGCATTTTAAGGGGGTGTTTTCACTCTCTCTCTCTCTCTGGGCAGAGAGCAGGCAAGAAGGGGGGAAGTCAGTTCAGTAGCTTTCTAGACTTACCTCAGCCCACCTTCATAAAAATGCTAGAGGTCTAGACAATGGGATGGTCATGCTAGAGATGTAAAATTTCCGGAAATTTTGAAGCTCGG